TACACGCCACACCTCAGGGTAAGTACCGAAATCACAATCCACCAATTTCCGCATGTGACTTACTGATTCAGCGATATATTTCAAATCGCGTTTGTTAATGCTACAATATCTCATGTTAAGCTTCTTTAAGTAAATCATCGACTGCAAACTAGCCGCCCACGTCCCGGCGTTACCACCCAACCCCTCATTGCCTGAAAGGTCAAGATTGGCCAAGTTTGGCATCTCCCCAACCGATGATGTAATATGTGGCATATCTTGTTCATTTATGCCACATTTTGGTAAATTGAGTGATTTAAGGTGCATCATCCTTTGCAAACTAGCCGCCCACGTTCCGGCGTTACCACCAAATCCATTATTGCCTGAAAGATTAAGATCGGCCAAGTTCGGCATCTCCCCCACCGATGAAGCAATATGTGGCATATCTTGTTCATTTATGCCACATTCCGATAAATTGAGTGATTTCAGGTGCATCATCCTCCGTAAACTAGCCACCCACGTTCCGGCGTTACCACCCAATCCCTCATTGCCTGAAAGATCAAGATCGGCCAAGTTTGGCATCTCCCCAACCGATGATGTAATATGTGGCATATCTTGTTCATTTATGCCACATTTTGATAAATTGAGTGATTTAAGGTGCATCATCCTCTGCAAACTAGCCGCCCACGTTCCGGCGTTACCACCCAATCCATTATTGCCTGAAAGATTAAGATCGGCCAAGTTCGGCATCTCCACCACCGATGAAGCAATATGTGGCATATCTTGTTCATTTATGCCACACTCCGATAAATCGAGTGATTTAAGGTGCATCATCCTCTGCAAACTAACCTTCCACGTTCCTACGTCACCACCCAAGCTCGAATTCTTTGAAAGGTTGAGATAGGCCAAGTTTGGTACTTGACCAAATGCTGCAGCAAGGTGTTCAATGTCAGCGCTTTGCAATGAGCAATCCCTTAAATCTAACTTCTGTAGTTCCGTCAGGTTTTGCAAGAGTGGAGTCCAGATACTTGCGGAACCACCCAGACCGCAAATGCCATCAATGTTTAATCTGACTAAATCTCTCCGATTATTGAATGAATGTAATACATCCGCCAAATCTTTGACAGTGATGAGTGAGAACTTCGTGATGCTCAACTCTATGCCATTACGCAATGACTGTACACGCCACACCTCAGGGTAAGTACCGAAATCACAATCCACCAGATTCCGCATGTGACTTACTGATTCAGCGATATATTTCAAATCGCGATTGTTAATGCTACAATATCTCATGTCAAGCTTCTTTACGTGAATCATCGACTGCAAACTAGCTGCCCACGTTCCGGCGTTACCACCCAACCCCTCATTGCCTGAAAGGTCAAGATTGGCCAAGTTTGGCATCTCCCCAACCGATGATGTAATATGTGGCATATCTTGTTCATTTATGCCACATTTTGATAAATTGAGTGATTTAAGGTGCATCATCCTCTGCAAACTAGCCGCCCACGTTCCGGCGTTACCACCAAATCCGTTATTGCCTGAAAGATTAAGATCGGCCAAGTTCGGCATCTCCACCACCGATGAAGCAATATGTGGCATATCTTGTTCATTTATGCCACATTCCGATAAATTGAGTGATTTAAGGTGCATCATCCTCTGTAAACAAGCCACCCACGTTCCGGCGTTACCACACAATCCCTTATTGTCTGAAAGATCAAGATCGGCCAAGTTCGGCATCTCCCCAACCGATGATGTAATATGTGGCATATTTTGTTCATTTATGCCACATTTTGATAAATTGAGTGATTTAAGGTGCATCATCCTCTGCAAACTAGCCGCCCACGTTCCGGCGTTACCACCCAATCCATTATTGCCTGAAAGATAAAGATAGGCCAAGTTCGGCATCTCCCCCACTGATGAAGCAATATGTGGCATATCTTGTTCATTTATGCCACATTCCGATAAATCGAGTGATTTAAGGTGCATCATCCTCTGCAAACTAACCTTCCACGTTCCTACGTCACCACCCAAGCTCGAATTCTTTGAAAGGTTGAGATAGGCCAAGTTTGGTACTTGAGCAAATGCTGCAGCAAGGTGTTCAATGTCAGCGCTTTGCAAAGAGCAATCACTTAAATCTAACTTCTGTAGTTCCGTCAGGTTTTGCAAGAGTGGAGTCCAGATACTTGCGGAACCACCCAGACCGCAAATGCCATCAATGTTTAATCTGACTAAATCTCTCCGATTATTGAATGAATGTAATATAGCCGCCAAATCTTTGACAGTGATGAGTGAGAACTTCGTGATGCTCAACTTTACGCCATTACGCAATGACTGTACACTCCACACCTCAGGGTAACTACCGAATTCACAATCAACAAGATTCCGCATGCGACTTACTGATTCAGCGATATATTTCAAATCGCGATTGTTAATGCTACAATATCTCATGTCAAGCTTTTTTATGTGAATCATCGACTGCAAACTAGCCGCCCACGTCCCGGCGTTACCACCCAACCCCTCATTGCCTGAAAGGTCAAGATTGGCCAAGTTTGGCATCTTCCCAACCGATGATGTAATATGTGGCATATCTTGTTCATTTATGCCACATTTTGATAAATTGAGTGATTTAAGGTGCATCATCCGCTGCAAAGTAGCCGCCCACGTTCCGGCGTTACCACCCAATCCATTATTGCCTGAAAGATTAAGATCGGCCAAGTTCGGCATCTCCCCCACCGATGAAGCAATATGTGGCATATCTTGTTCATTTATGCCACATTCCGATAAATCGAGTGATTTCAGGTGCATCAACCTCTGTAAACTAGCCGCCCACGTTCCGGCGTTACCACCCAATCCCTCATTGAATGAAAGATTAAGATCGGCCAAGTTCGGCATCTCCCCCACCGATGAAGCAATATGTGGCATATCTTGTTCATTTATGCCACATTCCGATAAATCGAGTGATTTCAGGTGCATCAACCTCTGTAAACTAGCCGCCCACGTTCCGGCGTTACCACCCAATCCCTCATTGAATGAAAGATTAAGATCGGCCAAGTTCGGCATCTCCCCAACCGATGATGTAATATGTGGCATATCTTGTTCATTTATGCCACATTTTGATAAATTGAGTGATTTAAGGTGAATCATCTTCTGCAAACTAGCCGCCCACGTCTTGGCGTTACCACCCAATTCCTTATTGCCTAAAAGATCAAGATCGGCAAAATTTGGCACATTCCCAACCGATGATGCAATGTCTACTGCATCACAAGGGTCTAAGCAACATTTATTCAAACGAAGTGTCGCGAGGTATTTCATCCGTCGCAAGTGGACCGTCCAGTCTTTGGCTGAGCCGCCTAGATTATTTTCTCCAAGGCTTATTTCAGTCAAGTTACCTCCATAACGAAATGATGACAAAAGTTTATTAGCATTACTACCAGTTAGTGAGCAATCATCAAAATGCAATACGCGCAAGTTTTTCATTGTTGGCAACTGCAAAGCTACGACTTCACTAGACCTTGACAGGTTACCCGCCTCTAAGTGAATTTTACTTACTTTATCGAAGTAATCTACTTCCGATAACTCTGTCCGCTCAACAACACGCTGCAGCAACCACACAAACGAGTTTACGCTGTCGTTTCCATTTAACTCTATGTCTCCAGTCAAAAAAGGCTCAGTGAAATCTACTGATAACAAACCTCTTGCTTGACTTTCAAAGTAGCAATTTAAGGCCAATTCCTTCACTGGCTTGCGTTCGAAAGCCTTATCACTATGCAGATTCTTCTTGTGCAGCATCCGCAATACATACCGTGTGCATTCTTGATTGTCGCCGCAGCAGAAGCGCAACATGTACTCAAAATTCCAAGGATCTCCAAGTTTATCAAGAATCTTTTGCAATTCCCCACCGCCTTTGCTTAAAAGACTCTGACAGTACATAGCTGCGCAGTACTCTTGAATTGTCTTATGAATAAACTGTACGTTATTGTGCGTACCGCGCCACTTAATGACCCTCTGGCTGGTGAGAATACCCGCTTGTATTGCTTTGTCAAGTGCACTCTTCTCAAACTCTCCCTCTTGAAATGAAAGCCTTTGCTCTGGGGAAATAAGCCCTTCTAAAGCAACTTTGCCATTCGCAATCACCACTTCCGATATAGCTTCTTCTGATAATTCAGCCATTTTTCTTCGAAATATGTATCTAATTGCCTCACTGAACAATCTTGATAGAGTATCGGGTAGTGTTTCCTCTTCCCTCCATATCAGGCATATTAGCAGGAGTATCATAGGGCTCCTTGCTAAATCAGACAGGACATCCGATGACTGAATCCTATCAAGAAGTCTCTCAGCCTCATCAAGCTTTGCAGGGAAAAATTTTCTCACATACTGCCCAATATCTTCCATCCTAAATCCCAAAACACTCACATGGGTGAAAGGTTTCTCAATGAGTGATTTGCTTTTCAATTTAGCAAAGTGAGAGGGGCGTGTTGTTACAACTACAAAACATTCTTTACCAAATTTTCGATTGAGCATTCTTAGAATGGACCCAAATTTCTCTGGTTCGATGTTAGTTGTCCCGAATTCATCAAAACCATCTATCAGAATGAGCACTCTACTACCATTGTCTTTAATGAATGCTTCCATTCCGTCCTTATCTACAGCTGTATCATCTGCTAAAAGTTGACCAAACACTGACTCAACAAGCTCCGACGTTTGTTTGAGAGCGGACATTTTCAAGACAAACACAAGTGAAAACTGTGTGAGTGCAACACCTGTAGCCCAGTCGTAGGCCATTTTGTCAATAATGGTTGACTTCCCCATCCCAGCTGACCCACACAAAATGGCGCGTTTAATCACTTTCCCGTATTTTGTTTTTATGAGGAAAATGTCCCCATACTCCTCAACATCGCCCTGTATGTCATCCTGATCACTCTTTTCTAATTGCAACTCTGTATATATATCCATAATATGTTTCATGTCGTCATCGACCCAGGGTATTAACTGAACGTAGCTACCTTTGGTAGTATACCGGTCTTTTAATTCACTCCTGCACTGATCAGCTGCAGCATCACTCGGACTGGATTGTGCTCTTCCCGTCTCGACTGTTGAAAGAAAAAAAAGAAACATTACTCATGTATCTTGCACCGGTACCATGGCGTAAACCACCGCCCTCACCCCTCTCCGACAAAATTAATTGTACTTCAAATTTCTGCCTTGTTTTGCAATGGCAAATTATTTAAGACATCGAGAAAAATCCCACGTTTATGGAATATTTACTTCACAAAATTGGAATTTCTTTTTATCCCAACAACCCATGTAAAATCATCTCCAGCTTGAGATGATCGGTTCCTGCCACCTGTAAGTGTCGATAATGGAGGGACTAATCTGGATTTGATAGCACGCAAATTAAACCTGGAGTGCGGAGGATTGCAGTGGCCCGAAACAAGAAGTAATATATATAGTTTTTGTTTTTAATTATTTTTAATTATCAAACCCTAGCATTTTAGTTAAAAATGTGTTGGGAGAAAAACATTTACTTTATTGAAAAACACAATTTAAGACTTCATGACAGAGAGGGAAAAACAATGGAATGAAACTAGCAAGCGAGAGAATGATACGACTATTTGGACTCTGAGTAAATTACATGTATTTACCTCGACTACTTTGTGTCAAAGTAACGTTTTGAGTGATGTTCAAAGTTGGCTCATAAACAGGTCCCAAGAAGGTCGGATTATTTGCACCGCCAATATGCACGGAATCCACTGATACGTGTTGCACAGGTCCACAATGGGGTACAGCAGGTGATGGGGATGAGGTTTGCAGTTGTAGTCCTACAGGTGCGATATCTTGAACTGGGCTTGGACTCTGAATTATCTGTTGGTCTTGTGACGTTCTTTCTATGATCACTGTCTCTTGTATCTCTGAAGGATTTCTTGGTGCAACACCCTCTTGTTTCTGATGTGTTGACCATTTTAGTCCCTGGTCCTCGGATGATTGCAACATCTGAACGCTCGGATCTCTTCCGGCTGCTTCTTGCTGGCTTCGTGATGACTCTTGCTGTTTTTGTTTTTGTCCCTCCGACGATGTAGTCCCTTTCTGCTTACTCTGTTCCTTGGTCCCTCCCTCTTCTACATTAAGTTCAGCTTTGTCTCGATAGTTAACTTCCTCCTGCTTCGGTCTCTGGTCTTTAGATGATGTAGTCTCTTCATAATTGCTCTGTTGTTTGGCCCCTCGCACTTGAATCTCTGGTCGAGGTTTGCCTCGAAGACACTCTAATTGCCCATGCCTCGGTTCAGGTTCTCCAGATGACGTCATCCCCTTTTGAGCGGTTTTCTCGAATTGCCCCAGCTTCTGTTTTTTCTGTAGGAGCCCCTGACTCGGACTATGTTCCTCATTAGACGGTCTTGCCCGCTTCTGCCTGTCCTGGTCTTTAACAACTATTCCCTGTCCCGGTGTCTGAGGTTTGCTTTGCTCAGCAACGTCCTCCTGTCTTTGTCTCTGGCCCTCAGATGATGAAGTTTCTTTCTGTTGTTTTCGTTTCTTAGCCCCTCCCATTTGTGACGTTTTCTTACGTTTGTCTCGGTGACCAACTTCCCTCTGTTTTGGTGTTTGGTCTTCAAATGATGTAGTTCCTTTTTCTTTGCTCTGTTCTTTAGCCCCTCCCTCGTTAACCTCTGGTTGAGGTTTACCTCTTTGTTCCTCCTGTTTCGGCTCCTGTTGCTCAGTAATCATTAAGGCAAGATCAGCATGACCGGTTGAATATAACGCATCTGTCAAACTCTGAAATCCTTCCTCGCGATTTGTTTGCTTTCTCCACCAAGAAAGCAGCATCTGTAGGCTCCTTTCTCTGTTTTCTTGGGAGGTGGTTTGGATTTCCTTGATTTCTGCTTCTTCAAATCCTAGTAATTTTGCCAATTCTTCCCAGAAAGATACAATTTTCGAAGCCAAGACGCAAAAGAGCCGACCATCAAGAGGGTGCTTGTCTGCCGAACAGAAATAAACTTTTTCTTCAGTTTGTAATTATTAGTATGAACTTGTTGCTGCCTAGCTAATTATTAATCGGATTTACTTCAGACGATTTAACTATCAGTGCGGATCTTATTTTTCTGGTGTGGAATTACATGGAATGAGGCGGTGCAGAACATTAGATAGACTCCATTACGAATTGGTGTCATTGCTACACACAAGACTTAAAAACAGTTTTACGCCTGAGCATCGATAACGTTTTAACACTTTCACTTTCCAAGAAGATTTCTAAAAATTTGCTTAGGTCGCATTGTCGTGAGGCAAATCTAGTTAGAGAAGCGGATGTGTCAACCCCAGCTTAATCGTCAGGGTCTAACGCCCGTGGATTCTTTTAAGGTAATGTAGCATTTACCTTTTGGTCCACCGCCCAGTAGGCCATCAGTAGACAGACGAAGTGAGATGTTCTCGTCCTGATGAATACCGCAGTCGTTGAGTGTCAGCAAGTTACATAGCTGGAAAAATGCAAGATCCTTAAATATAATAAACACTCTTTGGAAAGGTCCAATTGATTTAAAGAGCCAATGGCATGATTTTTACTCGGGAGCATATCTTTTGAAACATTCATTTCTTCTTATATGAATAAACATTTATTTGACATACCTTTTGGTTAATTTAATTGAGAAGGTCACTTCTTTAAACATTTAAAACAAATTCTTTCCTTTTTTCCTGACAAACGATGGCGCTGTTGTTGTGATGTCATTTCCGAAAGACACTGGTTCAGTTTTTTCTGTTCAAATAATTGTGCACTTTGCACTTTGAAAACATTGGCGAAAAAGTTTGCTAATAAGCACACTTATAGATTGTAACAGTGAAGTTTCTGCTTGAAATGACATCACACTTTTGCTCATAAATATGCAAATTTAGATGAGAATAAAAACGAACAAGGGCACCAATTGCGGGGGGGGGGGGGGGGGGCGCAGAGGGGGCAGCTTGCCCCCTCCCCCGGCTGATGTTTGTATTTATATATTTCATTTTTGTTTTAGTAACCATATCTATAAATGGTATAGAGAAGTCTGACATGAACGAGAAACAAAGAAAGGCTAATTGGGACACAACGATGCATTTACAACGACTGAATTAAAAAACAATATCTTACATGGGCCCAATAAGGATACACCTAACCTTTTTCCGGTTCATTTTTATCGTACGACTACATCGGTAGGGCTCACACCAACAACTTGGTTTTTTTTTTTCATAATCGTTTATCATTTTTTGAACTTAAGTGTTTGAACTCCATTTTACCGACATAAAAAGCAGCCCTTTTAAATGTCCACGGCTGATATTGAATCATAACAGGTTGTCACTAAAACCCCCAATGCAAGGTCTTTAATTGGATGGAATGCATATTGGTACTTTTTAACATGTTACACTTTGTAAAATACGGAGCAAGTTATACCTCAAAGTTACGAAAGTGTCTTCGGATGAACAGTCGCTGTTGTTGAGGCTGCACACCCATTTTCTCGCTTATTATCATTTTTAAGATCAATACAGGTGTCTCTGGATCCACTTGCAAACACATTATCTTTGGTTTTTGTGTACGGAGACTTCGGATGAAGACTTGCACATATCTGCGACTATCAAAAAAAAACACAGTACTGCATGCTAAGGGTCACTCAATCGTTTGAATTGACATATTAAAGGAATAAAGGTAAAGACCATCAACTATTACTGTAACCACACTCTATACGCTATTATTAAAGTGAAGAAATTGTGTTTTCTAAGGGAGTTAAGTTGTCTAAAAAACCACCGAAATTTGATGCCTGTGTAATTCTTCAAACGCAAGGTTCAATACGTATGCCAGCGTTTAATCGTGTTTTACCTGATTAGCTGAGGTTTGTCTTGATCGTCAACTTGTTCCCTTTTCAGTTTCTTTTCCTCGGTTGATGCCGCCCCCTGTTGTTTGCTCTCCTCGTCAACTCCTGCATCTTGACACCTTTCTGGCTCGGCTCCAGCTGATTCGTCTCTTGATTCGTTCATTACTGATGTAAAAAGGGAAAAAGAGTGATCATATTACCATATTTTTAAAACTATCTCTACTGTTTTGGTGGTTTGTTTTCTAAAATTAACAGGTTTTTAACAATTAGGTTTTTTTTTTAGTTAATTATTTGTTTAAAGAGTCCGATAGGAGAGCAGGGTACCCTATAATTTTTTATCCTTAAATTATAGTGCCTAATGTACAGTTTCATCTCTAATCACTCCTTAAATGTATCTGCTTGTTTGCATTTTAGCTCACCCGGTACATTTTGGGCAAAATCAGTCAATCCGATGGCCTCCAATGCTCGTCTCAGCTTCTGAGCTGCTTCGTCACGATCCGTCGTCTTTTTCCACCAAGTGAGTAGCATGTGACGGCTCTCTTCAGTGCTGCCTTCGTTGGTGGTTTGGATGTCTGCAATTTCCACTTCTTCATATCCTAAGTGTTTGGCCAATTCCTTCCACGATGATTCAATTTTCGGGGACAAGCCCTTGAGGTACTCATCGTCAATAGCGGATTTGCCTGCCAAAAGAATTTTAAATATTGCCTTTAGTGAAACCACAGGCGTATATGGTGTCAACGTATAGCAGTTAACCTGTATTATTAACTACAGCCGCAACGAAAAGATACTTTCGTTCTTTATAAACAGCTCAACTAAAGATAGCAAAAACTCCCTAGCAGGTCGTTTGTTCACTTGAACATAATTAGTTTCCCGAACTTGGTCATTTACCTTTTGATACCTTGTTTTTCACATTTTCTTCTTCGGCTGATGCCGCCCCGTTTTGTTTGTTCTCCTCGTCAACTCCTGCATCTTGAAGCCTTACTGATTCGGGTCCTGCTGCTTCGTCTCTCGATTTGCTCGTTACTGATGTAAGAAGGAAAACAGAGTGACCATCATTTTATTGTTTACCAATTGTTTTTCATATTGTCTTTACTGTTTTGTTTTACATTCAACGAGGCCGTTTTAATTGCTCAGGCCTATTTATTTGTTTAAAGAGCTAAGTATGAGTATCATACCCATATTTTTTGTTCTGAAAATACATCGTCTAAAGTTAAATGCACTCAGAAATCACTTTTGAATAATTGAAAACTGTTTGTTCACATTAATTTAGCTCACCCGGTACATTTTGGGCCAAATCAGTTAACCCGATGGCCTCCAATGCTCGTCTCAGATTCTGAGCTGCTTCGTCGCGATCTGTCATCTTTTCCCACCAAGTGAGTAGCATGTGACGGCTCTCTTCAGTGCTGCCTTCGTTGGTGGTTTGGATGTCTGCAATTTCCGCTTCTTCATATTCTAGGTGTTTAGCCAATTCCTTCCATGATGATTCAATTATCGATGACAAGTCCTTGAGGTACGCTTCATCGATAGTGGCTTTGTCTGCCAAAATGAATGTTAAGTTTTAGTCAACTTTTTTTTTTCAAATGCTTTCACCACGGTTTAAGTTATATGGTAGCAGTTAACTTATGTACTACAGCTGCAGCAAACTAGACTCTTGTTCTTTAATAATAGCTCAAATTTAGATTGTTTGTTTACTTGAACATTTATTCCTAACCTCTTTCATTTACCTTTTGGTACATCGTCGTCATCCGGATCTTCTATGGGCAGCTCGAGAGAGATGATTTCATTTTTGTCGACACCATTCTCCTCAAGTGTGAGCAAGTCACAGAGCTAACAAAGTAAATAATGTAAATTACTTGATCAGGAGAAACAAGGAGGATATAAGAAGTTAATCATTCAAACTTCCAGCAAATTACGTTCGTTGAAGCCTTTCATAGTGTGGAGGGAAGGGCTGTGATTTTTTGAAAGTACTGTTTAAAACGTGAAAAGAATATGAGATCTTGCATTCTACATATACCCTTTCTAAAATACCACAATGCGAAACTCTAGGTGTTGATATTTCAAATTGAACAAATTATCCGTACCGGTATTATTAATGACGGTATACCTACCTGGAAGATTTCCCTGATGTACAGACGCTGATATCGTGCCTCAACACCGATCTTCTTTTGGATTACCTCTTTTAGAGATGAGACGGATGTCTCGGGATGGAGTTCGAAATAAAGTGTCTTGGGTTTTTGTCGGAGGGGAGTACGGACAAAGACCTGCAGTTTCTGTTTTACGTCTTTGGTATTGCTGTGAAAATAGGGAGAAATCATGTGTAGTTTTAGAAATGCGTTATTCTAAAATAGAACGGGATCTGTGAACTATTCACTTGGCAGCTATAGTCAAAGTAACGTCCACTGTCACGAGTCTATGAAAAGTATTGCACAAGTTCACTCAATTTTTACACAAGTAGCTGGAAAGAATCAAAGATTCAACAAATCCTTCGACATTAAGTTACAATTATGACCCTCATTTGAAATGAATAACTGTCGTTTCTGTATACCTCTGACTTTCATGTGTCTGCTTTGATTGTCTTTGGATCCATCGTTTCGATGGTCTCCTTTTCCCAAGAAAAAAACGACTGGTGTCTAGCACAGTAATCGTCGATAGTTCAGTAGTTTCTAGAAATGGTTTGGCGTGACGACCAAAGTAAAATATCTCCTTTTGTGCTCAAGTGTGTACATTAAACTGACCACAACAACTACGAGGTCACATTAAATTACATTTGTGTGGCTAGAGTTTTCTTTCAGGAAGATGTTTTAAGAACAAAAAAGCTCTCCTTCAAAGGTTTACTTTTTGGTTTTTGCGTAATGAGAAGGCGGGTTGTCTGTACAGGATCACAGAGAAAAACGCCCTCTTCCTGAATCCAAATCCTGAATGGTCTTTCGCAGCATTTTGGTATTTGCCGAGTTGAAGTAAGGTGTGAAGTTCAATCGCAGAGAGGGAAATTATCTGCTGGCGTTCAATGCCCTACTGCGATGGATTGTATGTAAATCAGCTATACGCCCCTCTAAGTAAACACACTTCTAGATAATATTAACTGTAACTCGAGATAAGCATACCTAATTTCTTTTTGATAATGAAGCCTAGCAAGGTACGTAGTACAGACTACACCTGATGTGGTCTTGTTTCAACTGGTTTGTACATGACGAGGTGGGACACCAGATCATGGGCTTATATTAAGTGGTTTACCAAACCACGTATTCATCCCCGGTACGGCTTCGTCTCTGAATGACAGATTCATTCTTGGAGATTGAAATGTCACAACCAAACGGATATTCTTCAAACTTTGGCTTCGTATGCAAAACATATAGAAATAACAAACGGGTACACAGTAAATAATATATGTTACTTGCTTAAAGATTATATGAGTTAATTGCTTAAAGATTGTAAAAGTGTATTTGTGCCGTTCTTACATTCATGTTTTTTTTATGTGTTTGTACATTTGCGTAAAAAGGCCATTAACTTGTCCACAATGGGATATTAATTAAAGTTTGATTTTATTGAATTGTATTGAAGCAGAACAAGGGCCTGTACGGAGTTGGATTCCCCTAAGTAAGGGACCTCGAATTCTCCCGAAGCGAAAACAGAACCGAAGCACTGGAAACCCAACTCTATTGGGCTTTATCTAGCCAGCGGCATCAGACTTTGTAAACAATCGCAGAAACGCCGTAAACACTTCAGTTTTGGACCTTCGATACATGGCGTGATATTTTAGATAACAGTCATTAAGCACTAGGGGACACATATTCATTATTAGGGTACAATCTTTAAGACTCTCAGGTTACGGTAGGATGCCCTCAGAGCAGAAAGTTATTCCAATATATAAAGCTAATCCAAAACCCTTTGTTGGGTAAATGTGGGTTGTTTATAACGCCTTTTAAAATGTTGCTTTTTCTGTGCTGTTTTGGTATTCCATCCCGAATTTTGTTTTCATTGCTTATTTTCATTAATACAGAAGTTTCAAATTGGAGGCATTGCATATAGCGCATCGAAAGAAAAAAGTGACATTTTGTCATGGAATAATTACAAAATTTTGACAATTTAGCCGTGTTTCTTTTCAAGTGATTTTTGTTCCAGTGGCTTTTAGAGGTTCAATAGAGAAAATCAAAGTGGTTCCTCTTAAAAAACACAAAAGCACTGCGGGGGATATAATTATGTTTTTTTTTAATTATAATATTAATTTATTTTATTGTGAAAGAAGCTATTAAACTTCTTTAATTAATGGTATTTTTACAGTGTTTTTACACAGAACATGGCGTCGTTATGGCGCCCTCACTCGCTCAACACGGCCGATTCTATGTCAACTACACTTTATATGGCCGATTCTTTATATTTGTCAACTACACTTTCTGACCCATTCTTTATATTCGTCAGCAATATAGCCGATACATTATATTTGTCAACGACACTTTATGTGGCCGATTCTTTATATTTGTCAACTACACTTTATGGCTGTTTCTTTATGTTTGTCAACTACACTTTATACAACCGATTTTTTCCTTTCTCAACTACACTTTGTATGACCGATTTGTGTTTTTTATTTGTAAACTACTCGTTATATGGCCGATTCTTTATATTTAACAAAGACACTTTATATGGCCGATTCTTTGTAGTTGTAATCAACACTTTATATGGTCGATTTTTTTATATTTACAGGAATTCAAATACGAATTCGATTTTAATAATGTGAGTCAAGAATGAGCCACTATTTTTTTCTCTTAGATTTTGTATTTTGTATAATGAGGAACAAATCAAGTTTTTTTCATGACGATTGTGATTTTTGGCTGTTTACCTTTGCAGGTTTTCATCTATTAATTGAGGTAGAAATACCTGCGTGGTTCAAGGGTAGGCCCATTCATCAGTAGGTTTCGGTAAATAATCAGTCGTGGGCAGGTGAATTGTGTGATAGTTCTATTAATTTAAGAGAAATAACTTAGAAATAGAGTTATGCAAACTAAACGAAATTTTCACATTTACTAGTCAATAACATGTAATTTATTTCTATGTTATTTTTTATTAAATAGGTTGAGTCACACTGTTGAAAATATTTTAACCATTTTGATTCACACTGATTGAGATTTCTGCTCGGAATGACATCAAAGCTTTGCTCATCAATATAGGTATTAAGTGTGCCCTAGCAAGGTAGCACAGATTACACCTGATCTGGTCTTGTTTCAACCGGTTAGTACATGACAAGGCGGGACACCAGATCATGGGTTCATCTTTGTTTTGTTTTTTCAAACCACGGATAAGTTTACAGATGTGGCTTCTTCTCCGACTACACTAATCACTCCTAACCTTTCCTATGCCACCAGCGGGTGGACAGTCTTCAAACTTTGGCTTCCTGTTTTTCGATTTAAAGTTGCTAAAGCAAAACCAGTGCATACTGAGCCTGATTCCCGTTAGTCCGGGGCTCCGAACTCTCCCGAAGCTCAAACGGCCGCGGAACGGAAGCCGTGCGCGGGAATACCCAATTATATTTGGCTTATCTAACCAGCAGCATCAGACTATGTAAACATTCGTATAAACGCCGTAAACACTTTAGCTTTTGGACCCTGGAAACATGGCGTGATTTTAGATAAATGCCCTAGTCAGTGAGCCTGTAATGGCCCATTATTATTTATGGGTACAATCTCTTCAACTTTCAAGGTTTTCGGCAGCATGCACTCATGGCATTTAATCATTCCAAAAAAGTTGTCACAACCCTTCTCACTTACTCTGGCATATATCAAAAGTGGTATATATAAAAATCGCTTCTATGAGAGTTTTAATGGTCAAAATATTCCAATGGGATAATGTGATTACAGTTAAGTATTGTTTATGAAAATGCATTACCTCCCCTTCTGATAAAAAAAATGATTTCTTTTTTTTAAAGTGATTACACACGAATCCATTTTGATCACGTGATTCTTCAGGAACTGTTTCAAGATATTGCAGAGTTTTTATCACGTTCACAGTTTTAAAGTTCTGTCCACGGATCACCAAAAAGGGTGGTGTTCTTTCAGTAAAACGAAAACAAATCATGACATGGTTGTCTATATTCTCAGGCCCAGATTAAGTGTTTCGTAGGCACCAGGCACCAGTGTTCCGAAGAATGGAGAAGGAAGGGGAAAGGAAGAGGGAATAAGAACAAAGTGGAGAATGTAAATAATAAACACCGCTGCTTAAAACTGCGCGAAGCTAAAATCAGGTTCTGAAACCTATGGCAAAAGATTGTACATTCTGTCATGTCGGCACAAGCTGCCGCGCCAAGTCGCTTCATATAGGGGGTTGACAGCTTCAGCTGTGCAAAACACAAGCACGTGCTCGCTCGCA